GGTTTAAAGCCTGATCTACAATGTGTTCTTTGCTTTCTGTTTTCTGCTCTTACCTCTTTGCGACTATCTCGTATTTCGCAATTCCGTCGCGTAACGTGATGTTTCTTGTCTCTTCTGAAGTTCGTCAATTTTTATCTTGGGCGACAGAGAACAAAAAACATCGCATTACGCGGCGGAATTGCGAAATACAAGATAGTCGCAAAGAGGTAAGAGCAGAAAACAGAAAGCAAAGAACACATTGTAGATCAGACTTAATTCTCTTATTTTTACAACATATGCGAAAGAACATATGCGAAACGTTCAGAATAAATGTTTATCTTCGATATTTTTATGCGATCCGCAGATCGCGTAAGACTTCTCGTGATATTAACATGTAATTAATGATACTAAGCGCTTTTGCATAAAAAGCTGAGCTTCGTAGCATTTCTTAGAAATTATAATAGTGTTATAAAAGTTGGTATTTTTGTAACATAATTATTTGCGACGTAAACAGGCTGATTGAGGGAATCACGTAAAGCATGATTTTTATCTAAATATTATGAAACAAACATTGTTTGTGTCTAGGCAAGACAATGAGGAAACAAAGAGATTCAGGTTTTAGAAAACAAAATATTCTTTTATAAATAATTCATTATTTCTTGAAAGTACGTTCGTAATTCTTCCCAAGTGTTGTCTCTCGTCTGCGCATGAATTTAAATTACCAATATCTCATAATTTAGACCCGTTACAATGCGCAGAGGCTTGATAAATCACATCCGTCATTCCCAGAAAGAAATTTGCCTCCAATTTACTGAATCACAAGCCGACAATGTAATTTATACTTTATGTAATAAAATTATGCAATGTTTATCGGATCTTCTCCTTCGTATAATCAAGTTATCTATATAAAATTAACCGAACATACACAAATTTTATATATCGATATTGATAACTTTAAAATCAACTACTCCGATATGCTATCAAGTCATTTTCTCTCTTTCAAGCAACTCGTTTCTTTAAATCTTCGCTATCTTTCCACAAGCTCTGTACTATTTTTTTTCCCAACGAATTTCATCAAAAATAATAAAATAAAACCTCGGTGATTTTCGTGACTGATTATCGGGTAAAATCGCACAAATTAATTTATCATTAATATTAACTTATAATAATCTTGTGTGAAATAATTCGCAATAATCATGAAATTCAAACGCGATACTCACCAAAGTATTCTGATATCCCAGTCCATACTCCTCGTTCTCTCTTCGACTGGAAGATGCCATTTTGACTTCTTATCTCGCGCGACAAGAACGACTAATTCGATAAATTTTTTAATCACCGCGGAAAGCCGTTTCTAAGGAAAGGCTGCGAGGTAGAAGAGACGGATAATCGGGAGAAGAATGAAAGATGAATACGGGAAGGAGACGTGCAAATAAGTCTAGCGTTCTTTTCCGAAAAACCGCACCTCTAAAGGGTGGAAATTCAAAGAAGATGAAGAAAGCTTGGTCCACGATTGATCGACCGTCAAAGACACTGGATCTTCTTCTTCTTCTTCTTCCTCGTTCTTTCCCCTCGCAACGACGGCAATTCATCGATAACACTCCTCACCTCAAACGCACGATGATCAACGTCATCGGCTGACGTCGCTCAGTGTCCTTTCCTCGATAATTTCGAAGCTCCGATTTTTAGCGCGGAGCTTCACGTGAACGCCGTGATTTGTCGATAAGTCGATGACGCACGACGAAACGTGCGAGAATCGAAAGGTCAACGCGAAAAAAATTTTTCCTGTCAAAATAAATCTTTGGCGTATTAAAAGATGTTATCCTTTAATATATGAGAGTAATCATCGATTATTGCTCGACGTATAATTCGTATATTGCGGAATAAAAAATGAGGAACCACGCGCTGCAACTCGCATATATATATATATATATATGTATCTTCACTTCGATAGCTTACGATCGATAGCGTTAACTTGGCGAGTTACTCCAAATTTATCGCGCTGATAAGACCGCAGAAATGACTTTGTCACTTGTGAATATTATGTCGCGGGCTACTAAAATCCATGAGCACTTACTCGCGCGGATATTTTTGAATGCAATCGCACAACGAAGAGCCGAATCGGGCGCTTTCGAAGGAAACGCGCGATAAACGCTACATCGATCACGTGGACGTCGTCGGTAGCTTTCGCGGCGCGAGCAAAAGATAAAGAAAGACTGAAAATATCGTCCAGTCACTGTGTAAACACCGGCTTGTGCAGCGTGATCGGCCAGCGAACGCGACAAGAAGGTGTGTGTTCGAATCCCACGATCGGACTTGCGCCTCTCGATCGGCCCGAAACGTTATCGTCTTCGCAACGCACGAGGCTTTCGAGCTAATAAATATTGACGCCGACGTTTTGCGAGCCAAATATGCTCGTCACGATAGAGGCACGCGAATAACGCAACTAGCGAGCGCTATCGTTCCGTCGGCAGAGCCGATCGAGGATCCTTGTACTTCACTACTCCGAAGTGCCTCGCCTGCAAATTCTGCATGCATAGACGAAGATCTCGAAGTGTGTGGACACTTTCAAACAGATGTAAGTCCGCGAGTCGCACTAATTGTAAGCTGTCCAAGAAACCGGCACTCGGGGAGACGCTTTACTTGAACGATTTCGTATATATCTTCCGAATATTCTTTGAAATTTGATCGACCGAAAGGGAGGAAACGGGCGGAAGGTTTCGAGTCGCTCGTACGTGGAGACGACAGTGTCACCCGATTCCTGCCGTGTACGCGGTTCACCTCGCGAAGTGCGAGACTTTTCAGTCAAGGATCGTCGATCGTCGCGGCTACGGCGCGAAATCGCTCGTGACGGCGGCGGGACGCGACGAGCGCGCGCTTCGCGAGCGCCTCTGACTGCCCGGCTGGACGGTCGTGAGCCGACTGATGACTGATAGGTGTATGAATGAAGCGGCCGAGATTTCAGTCACTCTCTCTCTCTGCGCGATTGTAAGAAATTCAAAATCCTACATCGGCGACGGCGACGGCAGTGGGTGTCACTACTTCTCGTGATCGATTCCTCGGATTCGCGTGGCACTCGCTGACGTAAAATCGTGTAACAGGTCGCCGCCGCGCTCTCGCACGCTTTCGGAGTAAAATTTCGCTGAGACGCGATTTCGCTGTTTACGGGGAACGCGGAGAGCACGTGGGGATATCGCGGATTGCACAACTTTTATTCTATCGTCGAATCATCGCGCGAGAAAAGAAATTTTATTGCATCGATTTAAAATTGATACGACTCGATTTTACCTATCAATATTCTTACGTCTTCTCTCATTATATAGAAATGATACGTTACAAAAAAAATTAATTCTGCGATAAGCACCACGCGAATCGTGTCGCGTCGTCGCGTCGCCGCAGCTGCCGATAAAATTATAGTTCTCGAGAATCCCAAGATAGTAAATCATAAGTGTAACGACTTCATATTGTCAAACGTTTCTTCGATCGACACGACGATAACGTCAGCGAAAATCTCAAGCGTGCTGCGCGATAATAAGACTAAAAGCATCGTTCGTACCGATTTTATAGCATCAGGAAAACGAGAGAGGATCGACATTTCTCCATAGATGCCTGATTCGGCGAAAGACTTGACATTATTAAACGTGATGCGATAATTTTCAACGTATCTAATCAGGCTGTGGGCGACGACCTTTTCCTTTCCCACATGCCGTCATCGCTTTACTCGTACGCGACTTACGACCATGTTATTACATATTACATGCGAAATTAGATCGCTCGACCTTGACCGTCGCGAATTCGCCGAACGATTCGCGAACGTGTGTCGATCGACGGGAGGACGGTACTATACGTGGCCATCAAAGAGACATGTTAATCTCACCTTCCACCAGACGTTTTCGATCGCGCACGAGCGTGTCGAGACGACACTTTCGAGCTTGAACCGTGATAGGATGATCGAAGAGATAAATAACGAGAACGTATCAATGTCTGATAACAATCGATCACTGCTTCCTTTGTTACGAAGTAATATTTTTTATTGTCAGATTATTTCTGTATCGAATTATTTCTATGACGATCGGAATACATAAATTTATAACACGAAATATTGAGCTATTCGAACTAATGACACTTGAAATTAATTAATTATTTATATTAAGATATGAAACTTCTTATTAGCGGTACGATATCGCAGAAAACAAAAATAATCTAATTTTTCTTATTTTAACGTGACAGCGAGTATGTTATTGTCACATATTGTCACATATTGTGTCGTGTAGAATATATGACGAGTTTTGCATAATTTATACCGCGATAGCAAAAATAATCGAACGCTTCTTCATATTCATGCAAACTGTGTTACTTTGCGATCCATTCGTTAAAGGTATTCCTCGTTGTTCTATACGTAATACGTTCTACATACGCGCGCTTATCGGGCACCTGCATCGTGTACGTCTTCTTTCTTTACTTTACGATGCACGTAACGGCGCTGCATTCGATTAAACAAACCTCCCTCCGCGGAGGACGACCCTGAATTTTCGACTTTAACGGCGCAGAAATCGCTTATCGGCGAACATGTACGGGCGAATTTCGATCAAAAGAAATCGACGTTGGTTCGAGCCGCGGAACGAAGCGGAAGAGCGTCGGGGCATAAATATTTATGAGCGACCGACATTTTCTAAGCGTGCAATCGATGTAGAATCCGAAGGGGCATCCGCGCGTGGATGCAGTAAAAATACGCGGTTTGCGGATCACCGTCTTTTAGCGCAGCGCCCGTTTTTACGACGCCGAGATGTGAGGAGTGACTCATACAATATTCCTAACGACTCCAATACAATTTGACGTGGCGTTGCCGATGAAGGAACGTATGTCACGTGCGTATTACGCAGGGTGTACGTACTTAACAAAAAAAAATTTGCACGTTCGCTCGGTCTACTTTCATACGTACGCGTGCACGTACACGTGATGGAACTGGAACGGAGACGGTGGGAGATCGGAGGAGACGCGAGATATTAACAGACTCGGTCGGAAAGAGTGTACAAACATTATATATTATGTAAAATTTATAATAAGCCGTGCTGTAACAAGATTAACATCGTAAGAATACCCCAGTGTTCATTTTGCTTCTTTAAAAAATGGAAGGCCACCCGTATTAATACTGGTTGTTAGTCTAATAATCGTGTGCACTTCGATACAATAATAAGTCTCAAAAAATATGTTCTCTTTGTTGCCCAAGTTTTTTTTATGTGCGGACGACATTACAGATAAACATGTACGTCCACATTCATGCTTCATCCTAGCTCTTTGCAGTCCCCCTTGTACGTACTTGACCAAATCTATATATATATATATATATATGTATATAACTTATCCTAAGTGAGAGGATGGTTGATCGGTGCGACACCGTGTCTTGCCTTTGGTATCAACGCTATCATTTTGGAGACGTATTGGAGTTGTCCGAAGACGAACTTGGCACAACCGAAGCTATTACAAAGATAAACAAAAAAGAAACAAGTGTAACTAATGCCAGAGGGGATCAGGTTTGCGAGTCTGCGTCGCCTACTCACCAATAATGATGATCAAGATAATGACACATATGATGCCGAGAATGAGCATCATTTTGAGATTCTTCCACCAGTACTTTCGCTTCAGCTTGCCGGCGTGCTGTTCGAACTGCGTCGCGCCCTGCTGTAAAGCGTCCGCGCGATTCTCCAGCTCTGACAGCTTCTGATCTCGCTCCAGCACCTTCTCCACGTTAACCTTCATTATGCCCACGACCTCATCCACGGTGGCCTGGGTTTGCTGTAGCTTCTTGCTGGCACCCGCTTGCTGCGCGTTCTGCGGTCCGCCCCCCATTTCTCCTCCTGCGCCGCCACCTTCCATAATCCTGACACAAAAGGAAATGACACAAGGACTCCTTCCGGCTTCCAGCTAACCTGTCATACAATCACGACCCCTCCTCCGCGAACGTTTTGTCGATTTACGACCACCATGCGTGCGACTTTAAATAGATTCAAGAGAAATCAACAGAGTGACGAGTGACAGGTACACGCCCATAACCTCAAAGTCACGCATATGTTTCTGAAACGAGGTCTACGTGTTCGTCAACCGCTACAGAACGTTCGTCGCTTCGTCTTGTTAATAAATAAGCAGGGTCTAGGTGCGGGCAAAAATGAAAATGAAAAAGGAATACGATTGTAAAACATGACAAAATGACGAAAGTATAATCGTCAGTGCTACATCCGGACCGACAATATTACAAAATAATCTCGATCTCGATATCGTGGAATATCGTACACGTGTCTTGTTTTTTACTCACCTATAAAAATATCAAAATGCGCGAAACGAATCGAAGCTAACTTAATAAATCTGCGAGACGCGATGATATCTCGCGCGAGTTACTTATGACGACGGGTCACACCAGTCACCAGTCACCAGTCACCAGCAGTTTACGACAACAGTGAATGACACACAAGTCGAAGTCGAAGATGGCGATAATCATGACGTGAATGACGTCACGGATATTATAACGTGTGTTTGCCAAAAGAAAGATGGCAAAAATGCATGGTCGAGGATCGCTTTTCTCGATTTTCACGCGAATAATAGAATTTATTAATTAACTAGAAAATCTCGCTGACCGCTGCTCACTGCTGTAATTAATGGCACGTTGTCAAAACAATGGTTGCCCGCGCCATCTAAAGGCGGCGATTAGATTTAATTTGTCGGTAAAAACGATAGTCCACTAAACTCAAAACGAGATACAGCAGCAACATATCATATATGTACATATGTTATTGCGATACGATAATAATTAACGTGAGAATATACGGGCGTAAATGGAATAATTAAATCACATTTATTTTTACTTATCACAAATTAATTGAATTGAATTAATTACAGTGCCCATGGCAGTGGTACGACAGAGATGATCGATTATTGCCAAAAAAATTGATATGAATATTTAATGCACGCTCGCTATTCTCATATATTTCAAAAAACTATAACATATATAGTATGTTTAAAATATACATTATAAATGTATATTTTAAAGCGTGCTTTTTAGACTACTCTGTAACACATAACGCATGTATTTTACATTTTAAATACATTTTAAAATATTTTTCCTTGTAAAAAGGTGAATTCAGATCGAGCGAACACGTGGAACGAATACGAATGAACAGCGCACCGAGCCGTTCAAAGCAAGTCGTTTATTCATGTTTACGCTTGTTCATTCGGTCTAAATCCATCATGCACGCACACAAACGAAAGGATTGAAAGGATATTACAGAAAAAAAACTTCTTGAACATTACTGATAACACGTCAAATCAAATTGCAATTGGATTCTGCATTGAAAGTGTGCTTGATCGCAATTATGATGACATTTCAAGCGTCCACTTTGATCAAAAAGCAAAGTTAATGATAATAATAGCTTTATCGTAGTTTGAGACATTTTGCAAGACTGACATACACATGCAAGAGCAAAAAAGAAATATGTGTAACAGACAAGGCGCTAATAACTAGTCCTACTATGAAACTTGATCGCCGTAAAATAACATGGAAGAAATAAAATAGCAAAAGACAAAAGTAAGAAGAGAAAGATAAGTATGATTTTATTATATTATAAAGACCGTATGAGAAATTATGAGAAATAAAGCATGATGATCGGAATGAGAGGAGATCGAGAAGGAGGATATAACATATGGCGGCAATAAATTAAAATATTTAATGGCGATATTAAGAGATCGGGCAGTTCGGAATTTTATAGGATAGCGAATGTCTGGAATAAATGGCCTAGTTTACACCGATCACTTGATACGCGTATTAAATAGTAAATAACTAGTAAATAAGGCTGATTATTGGCTGATCAGTTCAAATATACTATTTGATACGCGTATCAAGAGATCGGTGTAAACTAGGCCAATGTCTGAAATGGAACTCGGTCGAGCATCGAGCTCGCGATCTCGAAAAGACGTGTCGCAATGACGACGCGGCGACGTGCGAGCGGACGTCTTTCGATGAAGAAACCGAAAGCTTTCATCTCGCGAAGCGCAACGACCACTTACCGCTAGAAGTTGCCATAATCGGGCGTACGAGCAATAACGCAGAAGCATCTTCGACACTACGCCGTGACACCGACGTGACTCGCGACTCGCGACGAATATCGCGACGATGGCATAAATAAAACATCTTGCGGATGCCCGATGCGCGTATTCACACCGCGTCGTTGCAGGAGCGTATCCGCGAGGACACGAGGATCCTCCCGAGAGCGAGGTGCGATCAAATCGCGTTCTTCCAGACCAACGCAAACGTAATTTTAATATCACTGCTGTCCGCGATAGATTTATCAAATGCACAAAACATTCACGCGCAAAATGTATATAGAGTTGATTAAAATTCCATTGTACACCAGTGTCAATCTGCATGACCTAGTGCACTCGAGCACGTTAGGTTGTTGGGAAAGAGGAGAGAGAGCACTTAATTTTTATATAGGTTTATCCAACGATGCACTGTAATCGAAATTGACTCTCGAATTAGAATCATTAACACGTGGACACATGGACGTACTGCGAGGTATTTAAATCTATTTTACCGCATGTAGAAGAGCAAGAATCATCGTGATACGTATTCCACGCTGATTGTTTGTTCTAGGCGAGACGCGCGTGCTTCAAGTAACCCTCGTATACAGAAAGCGAAAACAAGATGACAGGATTAAGCAGAACAATTTCAAATCGTTTATCCACGTAGGACGAAGTCGTGGAGGAACGCGCGTGGCACCTTATGCTCGCGGAAACGTTCCTGGCGGCCGTGTAGGGTGTGTTCGCGCATGAGGGTTGCGAGGCCATGCGAGGCGGCATCGCGGCATCGCGGCATCGCGAGACCATTTATCGACCAAAGTCAGGCCGCACGCCGCACGTGCGCAATCGCGGCAGGGTTGGCGTGTCGTCGTCCATCGACCCTGCAGCCTCGAGAGATCGACTCGCTCGGCCTGACCGCCGCGCCGTGCTTTCGAAAGCGCGTACCCCGCGTATCGCCGTACCTCGGGTCTTCCTCGCGGAAAATCGGCCGATCGCGCGTTCGAAGGTGCTCCCGCGAGCAGTCGCGACCTGGGAACGCGAGCGGAACACGATCGCGACAAACGCGCGAGGGGGAAAATCAAAGTTCGAGGGTGGACCATCGAGATATATCGCTCGGTCGCACGCGTGCGCGCGTCCGTGCCGACGATATCACACGGCGGCGTGCCGCCTGGAAATTTTATCAATACCGCGGCGGCCATCTAGTCTCGCTGGCAGTCGCTCGCGAAAAGTTACGCGCCGAACTCCGTACGACCGACCGGGGGTGTCGCCGAGCGAGTCGATCGACAAATCGACGAGGATTACCGGAACAGAGAGAACCCGAGGCGACCAAATACGAGCAGCATGTGAGTAGACGTGTAATACGCGGGTTTCGAACACGCGCGTTCCGGAGGAGACCGAACGAAACCTCCCAGGACGTACCGGATACGCTTCCCGCTGAAGTAGCCTCATCGACGAAGCGGACGAAGCCTCGCGAGATCATCGGGGACGCGACGCTTCTAACTTTCGCTTCGCGCCCGTTACGATGATACAAATGGCGCGTGCTTCGTGGAGCTGCATCGAGAGTCAATTCCGTGGCCATTCCGTGGCCGTAAGCGAGAGTCGAAGGCACTAACGTTATTAAATAGCCGTGTCTCTTTAAGCGGGCCTTTACACAAGACTGTGACGCATAAGTAGATCAATGAGCGATTAGAGTAGAGTGGTCAACTATAACACAGAACTACTCCGTGCTCTATAGCAACTCGGTCGACGATTTACCCGCGAGAAGGTGCGCGGCGATCGATGACGTTTGCGGGTATGAATGCGCAAAACCGTGTAAGGATCGCGTAAGGGAGCTCGCGGCGACTCGGCGATGAGGTGGGCGAGACGCGCCGTTACCGCGACGCGTCAGTAAGATGCGTTTTAAGACGCAATTGCCGAGGCTTGTCGCCGCCAATCGATCCTCCTCGCACGACCCGTCCGTCCGCGGCATACGGCACACGTTCCGAGTTCCGATAGAGTACAACGGAGCTCCCGACTCCCGAGACCCGGCACGGTCTCGTAACTTGCTTTCGAGGAAAATTAATCGAAACGCGGCCCACACCGCCCGCGACCCTTCGAACCTTTCGAGGGATGCGCGCACCATCATAATGCATCGACCCCATTCAACGCGAATCTTTTATCTGGGCTACTGCATGAAAGGTATAGATAGGTAGCAAGTCGATCGTGGAAGAAATATTGACGAAACGGGCACGTCGCGCGAGAAAATTTCCGTACCTCTATCAATTAAGTTACCGTCGTGTTCAGAATCGTTAACTTCTGGCGTTAATTATTGTATGTTTTGATAGACTCGTTTATTTATTTATTTGTTAATAGCGGCAATAGAGAAAACTACACGAACGCGGTAGTCGAATTGCAATGCGATAACTACGTTAATTAATCTCACTTTTGAACGCACTATTATAATTATAGCATTTCTATTTCCAACTTTTCTCATTATAACCTTTCGCATTCGGCTTCCGTCCATCCAGCTCGATTATACGCATTATATTCATTCAGCCAATCGAGGCGACGTATTTCTAAGTAATGTCATTGTTATCTACTCGAATATTTCGCGATCTTGGATAATCTCGATAGGAGGGGTGATTCAAACAGGATGATTCAAGCGTCGTCCATCGTTACGCCTACACGCCGTTGGCAAGTAACCGTGGAAGCGCGTGGAACTTGATCTTTTCGAAGGACACATGATAATTTCGGGCCGCTTTGCAGTCGCGATGCGGGAGAGATTAAAAAGCGATATCGAGCACACGTTATCGATTCTCTTCCCATCCGCCAAGCTTCTCGCCTCTTTGTTTACGAGTAATCGTGATAAGAATAATCGTGAGATCAGCGCGATCGCGATTAGCGCGCTTGTCGCGCGTTCTTTGCGCACTTTGCGCGCTCGCCGTGATCGCCGTGATCGCCGTGATCGCCGTGATCGCCGGCAGCTTAATTGCGATTATATGCGTGTATACATACACACATGTAGTCGGGATCAATCGCGCGAAACGCGGCGCACTGCTACTACATGTCGGCTCGCAGTTTCTATATTTAGATAATCAATGATGAGCACATTTACGGCAATGCTCTATGGAGCTTTGCTAGACAGAAAGGTGCGCGTGTTCGTACGTAACTTACACACGCATTGCGACCCGGGTGGCGAACAATGAACCGTTCGCCGGATTGTTCGTGCGTCGATCATAGACGACGAAATCCTCAGAGCGGCGGCAAACCGCGGTGTACTCATTGCAAGTAATTTGGTCCTTGAGAGCTCCGATAGTTTAATGGACGTACCGCTTTCTTTTGACACGGTTTCTATAATTCATCGGAAAACTGTTGGTGATATAAAAATTTTTTACCAAATTAACATCTCACATAAATTCGACAATTTTTACAATGATTAATTTGATATATCACGTTGCTACATTAATTTGATCTATTTTATGTCGTATTTTCATTATTTAAGTATTTTATAATATTTGCAAGTAATTTGGTCCTAAACGGTACCAAATGGATTTCGTAGTTAAGGTTAATTAATCGCAAAGAAGAAGATAAATATAAAAAGACTTTTTAACCGTATCACTGTGTTCTAAGCGGTGAAATGTAAATCCCATAAGTATTCACGGTTCAGCGCGAGTACTAATTTAATAATGAGAATGAAGAGCAATACCGCGATCGATATATTACGTCCATTATATATGTATCTATTTTACGTCATAGATTTTACGAATATTTCTTGACTTTTGCGCGTAGGATTCATAGCTGCAGCGATCGCAAAGTATGTCGATATATGCCATGTATATCGAATACCTATATTGTAATAAAATAAACAATAACAGCAGGAATTTTCACATTACGCCGGAAAAGCATTTCACTAAATCAAAAACGTCATGTACGTTTTTGAAAATAAATCCTTTTATCTCAATCTCGTGATAAATAAATATATTGAAACAGTCTACAACAATAACAGCGGAAATTTTCGAGCCACGTCAAACAAGTATTTCGACGATGAACAACCAAGTTGCACTGATAAATAGAAATGTCGCAAACATTCGTTGAATTAGATAACGGTATAATGATTGCTGTTTTTATCGATCATTCTGCTAAAATGCTGGAATCAACTGGAATTACGTCGAAATTTCGCGAGGAATGCCGGACGGCGGCGACCGTCATCTCAATGGGAACGATATGGAGAGGAGAGGAGAGGAGAGGAGAGGAGAGGCGTACGTACGTACGACTCTCCTCTATGTTTAACTATTCCCACCGACGGTATTCGAATAGTCGATCGATCGGCTGTTGCTACTCGGTCGTTCGATCGCTAGGCCAAAAATAAAACCCGCAACCTATCGACGACCGCTTTTTAATCCGTTATCGCGCGTAGCCGGCATTTTTTCCGAATCGTAACAACATCGCTAACATGTATTATTCGTAATCTTCCTGATTTACGTCACGTGTCGCTCCCCCTCACCCCGCGACGTGAAATTTATACATATATAGTGTGAGTAATCGCGGAAGTTTTTCTGTAGAAAGAATTAATTTTCTCCATATAATACAGATCGATCGGTTTCACCGCACCGGTGTGATTACGTAATATTTTTTTCTAATTTTAGTTAGCTAATTAATTGATATATCCTTACTGATCGTCCTGTCAACGTAAATTGCAGTTTTCGTTCTCGGCGATCACTTAATTGATATGAAGAATATATATTTAACGAACGTGGAGATTTTATGATGAAAAATAGAATGTCATGTCGGGGGAAGGAATGGAAGATCTAATTATCCCAGTACATAAGTTGTTGAGTAATTAAATTGGCATTGCTCGCAGCGGTACCGCGTAAGGTCTCTTTCTGCAAAAGGTCAGCTCGCAAAGGATGGCTCGTTGGAAACCCCGTAGAAAACAGATTTGCAGAACAACATGCATATCCATCACGTATACGTTGCTTCTCACTCAAGACATTTCCATATTATATATAATAAATAAAAAAGGTCTGTGCATCTAATTCCGTTTAAAACATCGTTTTACACAATAGCGGATATTTTACTGCAAAGCGCTTTTCTCTCGCATATTACGTTTAAAATAAATTAAACGATGTACAATAAAAGAGGAATATCTCTACCATCTTAAACTCTAAACCATTTAATTATCTTCGAGTACGATTGATCTAAGATACCCTAAATATTCCACGCGACGATTAAAAATATCCTAAATATTTTACGCAACCGTAATCCTTTAAATTTTTTTTCACAAACGTATGAATAATTCATCCAAGAGCTTAGCGAAAAGCTCGTAAAGTCGCTCGCAAAGAGCGATCGCGATCATTTAACTTTGAATACCAGCGTGTACGTGCACGTGCGCTCTGGATTACAATCTCCTCTGGGGCCATACGAGTATAAGCCGACATTATCAATGACCTTTTCTTTTTCCGTATCCATTTGCCTTCAACAGCCGTCACCTTTTAATTGCGAACGCGATGTGCCCTGGGATGAGACAATGTGCTCGCATCGCCGTCGCGCTCGGCCGCGTCGTATCCGTCCTAAGAAGCGAGTGGGAGGGAAACGCGTTGTCGAAGTAATACGCATCAAGTTTTTGCCATTAAACGGCGCGAATGGCGAAATCGTGTCATGAACTTTGCCCTTTTGCGGTGGTTTCCACCCGCAGCTCGATATGGGGAAAACCTCACGCAGCATCCAGCACCATGGGGCAACGACGGGCACTATAATTCCCGGCTGGCGCGTCCCGGGATGAGCGACACCCACCTGCGTGTTTATTTTACTTTTTAGAACCGTCGAGAGGAGAGATATCGCGCGCGCGTATCGGGGGATTCGATGCACAAATAAATTTCACGCCGTGAACAAGCCGCGAAATGCAAGCGTATATACGGGTAGCTCAGAGATATTTGCACCTATCGGCGCTTATTTATCTTACACCCAATTTTCGAAAATATACTGGCGTTTTCGAGGTACAGCAATTATTATGTTTTATTGCGTTCTATTATTTTCCGAGGCATTAAATTTGGTCGAAACGCGTCGCTTATGCAAAATACCCCTGCGGGAATAGGTCTATTTGTATAAACGTATAAAAAGACAACGTTTGTTTAACACAACTGTATTGTAATGACACACATTTGGATGTGACACGCTTCACACGCTATTAGTCATTTTCTCGAAATCGCGTCTTTTTTCAGGGCTACGGAGGGCGGTTTAGCACCGGATGCGGCTGCAGGTGCAGGCGCCGGTACCGACGGCATCGTCGGTGGCCCCAGGACGCCCCAGCAAATTGCCTCGCAGAAGCGGCTGCAGGCGACGCAAGCGCAAGTCGACGAGGTCGTCGACATCATGAAGACGAACGTCGAGAAGGTCCTCGAGCGCGATCAAAAGCTCTCCGAGCTCGACGATCGAGCAGGTGAGATCGATCTTCCGCGGCGCGCAGCCAAAACGCTTCGCGTCAAAAATATCGACGGCAATTATTTTAAAGTTGAAAATTTAATCAACAGTTAATCCTCCAAATTAGACTCTAATCTGCCAAATTATGTGTAATTTATTTTGTTATGTTTTGTAAATTCTATTATATATATTGTCCCGTCCCGTTGCGAATACTATTTGCGCGCGCGCGCGCGCGCACATCAACACCAATATATTCATTAATTATTATTGTATGTATACGTCACTCCATTGCTCGCGCACTGCTTCTACGTCAGGTACTTATTATTCATGGCGAATATCATTTGTTGTACGTCGAGAGATTAATTAATGCCTTGGAGGAGCAAAAATGTATATGCTGTGCTGTATCTCCGCATAAGAGAAGTATCGTACAAACTTTTAAGAAGATATATAATTGTAAGACGAATTCATGTCACGATTTATATTGCATCGCGTCACGACGCGACATCATATTGTTATTCACAACCAGCGTATCGCTACATACAGAATAGAAGCGCTAAACGGAAAATATGATCGTGGGAAGACTATACACCTTCCATTCATGGTATCGTGGCAATAAAGCAGTCCGACCCTGCGCGTCTGACTACACGTTGATATCGATTACTGTGACACGCTCGAATCGATGCCACGCTATGTGGCTTGGTGAACGTCGATCTTTTCTCACGCAATCCGCACGTACATTTATTTGCGCAAACGTATATTTTCGCCCTAATAAATTACGTTATTTATGACCCCATTCAGGTTCTCGCGGAATTCTTTTTCTTTTTTACTCGAAGAATTCTTTTGTTTTCAAAGTTATATTTAAGGATGCCCGAGATAAATCCGATGACACACTCGCGTAATTTTGCAGATGCACTCCAACAAGGAGCGTCACAGTTTGAACAACAAGCAGGAAAATTGAAGAGAAAGTTTTGGCTACAGAATCTAAAGGTGAGTAAATGTTAAATTTTACAAGAGTTAAAGTTTACAATTTATGGCAATACCTCGGTATCTGAATAATACGTGTTCTGTTTGCTTTCTCTTAACAGATGATGATCATCATAGGTGTTATCGCACTCATCGTACTGGCCATCATTGTCGGTAAGTGTTTTACTGACGCACTAATGTTTGACAGCTGTCAACACTGCCACTATACGTGTTTAAATGTTTTGTGCCATCTCGTCGATGTACATCTCGTCCCGATTTCGAGCGACTAATTCAGCTTTACCTCTTTTTTTAAACGCACGTCCGTATGCGCACGGTGAAAGTATCGACTATTTATTTAAATCGTGGAAATTAATATTCTTTTTCGTATTCGAATTCGTATTCGATAAATATGGATTTTTATCGCGATTGGACCAACTCCCGTACAGTTTACGATTTGAAAATTTATCGTGTTACATCTGAATCAGTCGTTCCTGTCTAATGTCTCTCTGTCGATCTATACCCTTTGTATTAACAATAAGGAAACGTCTACGTACGGACGATTGTGTTTGCACGATGCGAAGTGACGAACGAAATGTTGTTCCGCGGATTTGCATAGCTTTTGAGAAATCCCCTTGAAGAGATCTTTTGAGGTTTCTCAAAAAAATGTAAAACAAACTGTTTATCGTGCTTTGCCTGAAAATTACGTCGACTATACTTGGCCTCGATTCATCTTCACGAAACTTTATCGAAAATATCATACTTGCGAGCATCTCTTTTCTCTATATACCGGAATAATTTTCGCTTCAAATCTTACGAAAGTTCTATTTCCTAACGATATCATTCTCGTGCATTTTATGGACGAAATAAGAGTAGTATATATTACTTTTAATGCAAGAACACGTCTTTATCGCGCGCGATATAAAATGCGCGAGAAAGATGCCACTATACAGTGTAATCCGTCTGAAAAAAAAAATGGCGTTACTCTGTCTCCTTTTTGTTCATTCATCATCTAACACGTATGAAATGTATGTATTTCTCTTTTCCCGTCTAGCGAACTTCATGTAGGCGCGCTGATTGGTGGAAGAGATTTGTGTGTGAGTGAGTCTGAAGGTAGAAAGCAAAACAATTGCGACATTGCGTATCGCTGTTGTTTCTCACCCTGTTTCTCTTTTTTACTTGTCGTAGAAAATGTATACCTGAACCCGTACGTTTTTCCGATTACATTCTCGTTGTTTACCATCCAACACACGTAAAAACTCCTCTCACTCCGATATTTCAAAATTGTCCTTAATTTTGATAATGTCACGTATCAAGCGTTGCCAGTTTTATAAAAACTTTTGTTATTACCAGATATTTTGTTTAAAAATAATAGTCATTTTAGTTTGCTGAAATTATTATTAAGCTTATAGTTAGACGCACTTGGTAATAGAGCATGATTATTAACTGTCACGCACATGATAATTGTGACATACAATTATTACCACTATAATATTTTATTATTATCATCATAATTTTTATCACACGTGGTTTTATTTGCAAAAAATGTGCAAATGCTTCCACGATGAATTTATAAAACTGGCATACTTAGTCGGTGTCTGCCTGTGATAGGTACTTGCTGTATCTGTACATGTTGCTACATGTATTCGTTCCATAAGAACTCTCCACCAGTGTCGTTGCATATTTATGAATCACCGATCTAATTGGGAAGCGTTCCAATTAAGAATCGCCATGGCGAGATACACCGCGAGCCTTCATAAATCTTCGACGACGTCCTTATTCCCTTCTCTTACCACATCACAGCGTTCAAGTCAACGTCAAGTGTAAACATTTAAACAATACGTAAAAGTTGCCATTATACATATATCTTCCCGCTAGGAATTTTCTTAACATTTTCTGACATTTGAGCGTCTCTTTAAAGTCCACAAGACGGAATAAACTGACGCACGAGAAAATCGCTCTATAATAACTTTAACAATTCCAAGACAACGTTACAACATATCTGTCACAAATTCGATGTTGACTAAAGTCTACTTTAGACGATCTATAACTCGCTAGACTTCCGGATAAAAATATATATACATTTTTTATTACACATTTCTATTTGCAGCTTCTTATATTGGGTATATTCATATGTGTTAGGTGTAGTATATTTTATATGTTTGCATTTTGGTATCTATATTCAATTATATTTCATATTAGATGACGTATAAAATTACGAGTCGAATAATATCCAGAATATCCTGACGTCTGATACGAATTACAGATCGTCTAAAGTGAACGAAATGTATTGCGTGAGTTAATTTTGACGCAAACTATCGGTTTCCTTAACGAATGCCGATGAACTTTTAAAGGGGAATGTTTTCCGAGACACGATCATACCTGACCCTTTGTGTGCGTGTTACAACTCTAATCGTTGTTATGTGTCTGTCTGTACTTTCGGTGGTATCCTCTTTCTGAAGTTGGTCCCAGGCAGTGATTTTCAATTTTCTGGTGGTCAATTAAGTCAAAGAAAAAACAAAGCGAAAAAGAGTGTGTAAACGCGTGAAACTAGTTGAACATACAGCTTCAAACATTGTGATTCGCGAACACTCTGCGGCGGCAAATAAAGAAACGATACAAAATACCACCAAGAAATGAAAACACAAGAAATGAAAACACCACAACGACAAACGACATCAACAACAAGCACAATATCGACAACAGTAAGAATTATCAAACAACTACAACTACAACAATGTTTCTGTTTAATCCTATTCTACTCTTCGGTACGGTAAGCTATGATTTTATTGTTGTACCCGATATGACTTTTCTACCTTTTTCTCTCTTCTTATCGCCAAAATGCAATTTAAATCAATTCTTCAAGCACTCTTTTTCTTAGATTTATTTCTTTTATTTATTCATTCAGCTTTACGTATTGAAAAAAAGTTCTATATATATAAATGTATAATCTGCATTTATATAGTTTTGTAAACTACATTTTTTATCCTTCATAGTTAAACATAAAGGTCGTACATTATATTTATATTATATTTATAATTTTAGTTTAAATCTTTACACATTTAATAATTTATTTAATTTCTAATTTTGCATTTATATATGTAGATACGAGATATTTTAATTAATATTATGATCAATTTGTTTCATTTTTTGCATATAAAGATACATTCATGCATATTACATCCTGCATGTTTCTCTCTCTTTCTCTCCTCTCATTCATCCTCTTTTTTTCTCTTATAAATAACATTCTTAGTACAGTGCAAAACTCATACACCGTATATATATATATATATATATATATATATATATATATATATATATATATATATTCTCAGGATATATGCATACTTTAATAATGTGCATTCCAATATTATAAAGACGAATCAAGCAAACGTTTCTGGGACGATCTTCGCGCAACGTGCTTGACCTCTTATTACAGAGCATGTACCATCGATTTAATTATTTCTCCCTCGATTGGAAGCCGAGGTCGGCATAGCGTTGCATGGCTTGTACGTTATATGGAATGCGCCAAAAGCTTCTAACGCAAACAGTTTCATTGTCAGTCAGGAGTTCGGCCAGAATTTCCTATAAACTGCGAATTTTTTCCAAGTGTTGTGTACAATATGAAAGGGAAAAAGGCGGACTTCGGGCGGAACTTCTGACGAAAAGCGAAAGTTTATCCTGCCGCTGATAATTTTCGCAGTGGGAAGTTTATGTATCGTGTGTACCACCGAGTGGCCTCTGTATACGCATTTATGCTTCTGTACCTATTTGCATGCAATTCTTCCTTGTCCTTATGGCTAATGGATTGTTATATATAGCTTTAAACTGCGCAAGCCAATTGATTATAGTTTATCAAACGCATCGTCGTGGATATAATGGTGTAAATAAACCAATGTCTTTCAATGAGAGCATTTCAAAACTACTAAAATAGACATGAACTAACATTCTGTACGATCTAGATATTGATATAGTAAATTTAAACATTTGTCCGCGATGAGCGCGATCCGCCACGAGTCTGCGCATGCGAACAATAACGAAATAGAGAGAAAGGGAAAGAAATGGGGGAAAACAAAAACAGATTAAAATTTGAAGAGGCGGAGACTAAGAGCAACGTGGGGGCGAATCATCGCCGTCCCTTTCCCTTATCCAGTGGAGGAGAACAAATTTTATTATTGTTTTCAGCGAGCCTCACCGGTGGCAGCAATACACAAAATTGAGCGCGAGAGCTAAAGTAAAATAACGTAACAACAACTACAACAACAACAAAAAGAGAGGTAAAAGAGGGAGAAGAAGAGGAGGAGGAGAAGAAGGAAAAAGAAGAAGAAGAAGAAGAAGAAGAAGAAGAAGAAGAAGAAGAAGAAGAAGAGTGAAGAAGAGAAAAGAAAGAGAGAGAGAGAGAGAGAGAGAGAGAGAGAGAGACGGCGGCTGATGAGATTGATTCGCGAAAAGGAGGGATAGATCTCGCAAAACGGAAATTGTGATGAGCCGTTGACGAGCTCTGCCGGAGTTCTTCGCGAACGTTCGGATCGATTGCGCGCGGGAATCGATCGATCGCCGGCCTTATTGTGATTCATCGTGAAAGAAGGAAGGATGACGGCGGATAACCGGAAGCAGGGAACGTTGATTTGAGCGGGAACAACGAAGAGAGCCGTCGCGACGACTACAGAACTTTCCTGCTGTCCTTTGTAGCGTTTCTTTTCTTTTCGGGTCGGGCAGAGGAAGTCGAGTCCACACTGAACCGACTCGATCTCCATCTCGCATGGGCGAAGGTCGCGCAGGACAATTTACTGATTTCTTGGCCATTATCTCATTCAGCTATTATTATTTATATTATTGTTTAATATAATTGACGTAATTTTGTTGTTATCACAATCGTTTCGCAACAATGCGTCGTTCCGGAGAACATTAATTTACCTCATGTGTTTCGGCGAACGCAAAATTAAGTTGAAAGTACACAGGTCTTAACGGATTTAGTCTTATCAGACAAGCGGCAAACCGGGCAAACATTGAAACATTGTAACTGATTCCATTAAAATTTCACGACTAAACGCGGCTGATTCACAAGAGATACGTGCATCGCGCATTCCTTCGTCCATCTTCGTTAATTAAGATTGTCCGAGAAAAGTTAGAAGAGATGAGAAATAGAGAAACAGTTGGTTATTGTAAACAAAGAAGCGTAAGGTTCACGAAAAAGAAAGGGAGAATCGTTGTAGCGATATATAATATTTAAATATATAGGAGATATATTTAATATCTATGCACATATATATGTATAAATATATACGTATACGTATATATATATGTATATATTTATATATAGAAAGAAGGAGATAAAGAGAGACAGGATGTCCGTAAAAACCACCATGTAAAACCTCTCCGACGAAGGCAGTTGCTGTTATAGTAAGTATAGGTTCGCCCGCATACGCGAACGCGTTCGCGACATGTATCGAGACATTTACTTTATAGACGTAAATGTAAATCACGCAAACTGTATATAATATATCATTTGTCCTTCACGCGCCATTTATCGGATTCAATCCGCTCTAGTTATATCAAGAAGATTCACACACACACACACACACACACACACACACACACACACACACACACACACACACACACGCCGGTGTCCTTTGTTCCCTTGTCTCGCATCTTGCTTTTCGTTTTTCTCGCGAATTATAGAGGAAGAACAAACCGAAGGATAGAGGGACGGAAGACGAGGGAAAGGAAAAAACGAATGGGGAAAATAGCGGTAGTCGCCTGCTTTCGTCGAAGACGGCGATCAACGTTTTCGAGCAGCCTGTGTACAGAGAATCTAAAAAATAATAAAGGAAGGGGAAGAAAGGGGGGAGGTGGAGAGAAAAGGGGAGAAGAGACGAAGGGGAAAGAAACGCCTTGTTGTAGAGAGGCGCAGCAGCTATAAGTAACGTTTTAAGGCTTTAAGATGAATTATCTACAAGATGTTATGTATACATGTTAATAATAATGATGATTACGATGATAATAATAATGGTAACATTAATAATAATTATAATAAACGACGACGGAGGAAGTTGCTTTCCTCGCTTCGCAGATGCGATCGCGGCGATAGAAGAGAACGCTATCATTTTCGATTCGAGGATACCCGAGCTCGGGAAGGCTCCACCCTCGATCATTCTCTTATTGTCCATCCGCGAGATAAGACGTTAGTGACAACGGGTATATCGCGCCCGACACGCCGATTGTTCGTCGACGAGTCCGACGAGATCGTCGTCGATCTCCAACGATCCTGCCCGGTCCCCCTTCCTTCTTCCGTTCGGTCCTTACTGATTTCGGTGCTGCTGCTGCTGATTCAGCAATAATCTCGAGAGACGAAACGATCGTCCTTCCGACCGCGATTCTCCGCAATTATTCCTCCCTTCGATCCCGTCCCGACGCGCGATATTTGTGGTTTATGCCTGCAGGCGCCATTCCGTCGCGACTTCCGGACGCGACAAAATTCAGAAGAGACAGAAGAGCTTTTCATCGTGTCGATCGGCAGACTATACTCGATCGACTTTGCTTTTATTGGCGCCGGGTTTCATTTTAAGAAAAATTTTAGGAAACGAGATTTGTGTGTGACAATATCAATATATCAGATATTAATTTTTTGCAATTATTAATTGATCTGATTAACCATGTACTTAATCATAGTGTTAATTGGCACTAAAATAAAATGAAGGAATCATCTATTCTTTTTCTTTCTTTTTTCAAATTCTTTCTGACGCAAATATTTGTTGCTTAGCATAATTTTATGACATTGTTAAAAAAATAATATCGATTATTGGGGAATCATTGGGGACCACGAGTTATTAATATGTGGTGCGCTTTGCTGAATCCGCGAAAATCCCAAGGATGGAGAAGCGAAGGGCCGATCGACAAATGAGAATTTCTTCGAAATTGTCGCGCGAAATGGCCGCACATCCGAGTTATAATGTTTAAAAACGATCATTCTATGTTTACGAACTTATGAACACATAGCTGTACGTCATATCTTAACCGTGTCGACGTATCCTTAATTATTAACGACGAATATGATCATGATGCTGCGCTTTCAACAATTGTACAGTATCGAATAAAAAATACACTGCGTAGTTGAATTGAAGTTATAAAGAGGCAGCGGAGAAGGGGATCGATTATAATTTTTTTCCTGTTTATTTCTAAATCAATTCGCTTCGATCGTAGAATCTTTATTGCCTTCCGCAAGCACCGACGCATTTTTGAGAATTTTATTACTAATAGTTAAAAGACACATTTCAGTTCTTTCTTTTATTTTGTGCCATTAATGCTGCATGTAAAAAGAAAGTGAGAAGAAATGCGTCATTCGATTACGGCTGAAAAGAAGTTACGCGGTAATAATTTTTTAAACACCTATTGACGATCTCGAATATATATGTATATTGCAATTCGCCTTCCAGGAAGAGGATCATTACTTATAAAGCCTAATAACCATTAAATCCAAGCAGGAGGTAAGAACAATAAACTTGCTATTGTATGCCGGTATATACACATTTTTTTATATTTATCTACTTATTTCTTAACAATTTTATTTATACTCTTTCTCACTTGATTTCATCTGTACTTCCTTTAACTAACAATCATGTTATTTTGTACTACATTTCAAAACGGTTAAATTAAATATTAACTATATACTATATATATATTTTAAAAATATATAATTTAAAGAAGTATATTGTCACAATTATGCAGTTATTTCTTCATTTATTAATTTATTAATGAATGTGTGTGGTCGATGTTTCTTTGTAATTAAATCCTATTATGTTCCGAATTCTTTAAATCTTTATTGATTAATGATGCAGCAATCTCATAATTATATGTATTATCAATAGTCTCGCGATACCGTAAAGATCATATTAGTAAACATGTCTTTTTATCTTTGAATTACAACTTCTACTTTTCTGTTTCCTGTGTTTTCTTTTACGAATTTTGTTCCGTCGTGTGTGACAAATACGTAAAATATGTGCTTCCATCATTGTGCATTCCATTAGATAGTTTAATATTTCACGCTGTCAGGGAGTCATCGCGTATGAATACTGCTGTTAATAATATAAATTATATAATAAATTTACGTTTCCTATGATCGTGTGATCAATAATAGAAAAGATCAGTGATATGTGTGTGTCCAATTCGCTTCGTAATCGTAGATTCGTAATTATTTTATTTGCTACTCATTCGTGCAACTGTTCCAATTTAATGTATAAATTATAAATGCCAGGCGCGCGCACACATGTCGAGATTTAAAGTAAAACGCGGCAATACCTACACGTTTGTGTGTGTGTGTGTGTGTGTGTGTGTGTGTGTGTGTGTGTGTGAGAGAGAGAGAGAGAGAGAGAGAGAGAGAGAGAAAGAGAGAAAGTGAGAATGAGAGAGCGAGAAAGAGAGAGAACACTCTGTAATATAACACACAACTATTCAGAAAAAAAAAAACAGAAGCAAATGAAAATATCGATACACTTTCTGCGTTTTAGCGTCATACAACCTGTATATCTTTCATTTGTCCAAATTATATGTTTCTGTGTGTTAATCGTTATAAAAGTGTGAGAATAAAAGATATCAAATACGACATATTATTTTTATGCCGTAGATAAAAGATAAATCCTCAGATACAAAGAACAGCCGAAAAAATACTTTTTCATCAACTTATTATCGACTCCTATTAATAATTATATTCTTTTCACTTTACACCTTCTCTTCACGGAAGCTATTCAATTAATACGGAAATTTTCACAATAATAATATATATATCTACACGATCGAACTATTCTTAAATGTGCAATGATGAAAATTCTTTTCATACTGCTTAAAAAAAAAATTTTTAAGTATACTCTTTTATTATATATAATATTTCACAGAAATTCAATCTCTTTTTTACGAAACAGTAGCAAACAAATTAATCAATATACCAATTTTACTCTTCAATATTAGTGCAACCAAAAAAAAACAATTAGAAAACTAAAGTGAGAGCCAGACCAACGAGCAAGCGTGAACAAGCAAGAATGAATAATTTGCTTCAATGAGTGTGAATACCGTCATACTATCAGTTTATCGAAACAAATTATTCATTCGTGTTAGTTTACACTCGCTCGCTTAAACTGGACCAGGTTTAAAATACTTCCTTTCGTTTTAATACATAACATTTTTAATCTCCCCTCAAAGATTTAAACTATGTCGTCTGTAGGAAAAAGACTATGATGTTATATTTAACATCCCAATATATACAGGGATTTCCCCTATTGATCTCCGTTGTCATTTCACGCTCCGATATATCGATATCAGAAACTAATATAATTTTTATTTGAACGTTTCAGCGAAATTCATGCCGGAATCATCGCCTACGAACACTCCCTATCCGAACTATAATCCGAACTATCCGAACGGGCCGCCGATGGCCGGGGGACCCGGTGGAGCTACGAATACTGCAGGGACGTTGGGCGGTGCGCCAGGGGGTGGTTCGCAGCAGCCCGCCCCGCCCGCGCTCGTCGGCAACCTGGACGCCGGTATACGCATCGTATAAACGGTATGGCATGCTGGTGACACTTGGGGTAAAAGGAGAAAACGAGAAACGAGGGAGACCGACCCTGACAACGACATCTTCATCCGCGGAAATAACTGGTCGACATATTCGCTTCGGCGACCAACTCGTTTGGATCATCATCTGCACGTCGAAGGGCACGATGGAATAATTCGGTAACTCCATAATCCGTATAGGATAAAAAATAAACCTCAAAAGTCATGGACTTATATCGTTCTTTGCGAGCGGAACTCTTCGGCTATACCGCGCGTCGGATTATTTTTATGTAGAATTATTTTTTCCCCTATTGATATGACGTTGTGATAACTAATAGTACCAATGTTCTACTAGCAATTACCGTGTATTGTGCAACTTTCTTCGAGCTACGTAGTATTTAGACGCAAATTGTCTTCACGTATCTTTATTCACCAATTTTTATTCAATTGTTTTTGCATCTTATTAATCTTGTAGTCGAACTTTAAGTTGTTTAAGTGGAAGCGACATATCGACCGGTCTTTTCGTCGTTCAAGAAGAAAAAAACAATCTATATAGCTATCTATAGCTTTACGAGCCTTTAAAATTCCGCTCAGCTAATCGATACGAAAAACATAGGTACAACAAGCGAAGTGTCGTTCACGAGAAAATACACGGATATGTGTATCGATGTATGTACATGTATATGTACATACATTATTACGAATTATCAATGTAAAATTAAAATCTATGTACATACATATAAATACAATTTATTCATATGTTAAATAAACAAACAAAATACAGGAGAGATGATAATGGAAGAATCATAAAAATGACAATTGGAAGGATTGACGCAGGTATATTTCGAGTCCACTTCCGACCGAGAAAAATGTAAAAATGTCGAATGTGCGCATCACATAAGATGTTTCATGTAAGTGATAATTTTTGGTGCTTGCTTGTACTTGTACATTTATATAAGATTGTCTCCGACAATAGGCTTTCTGGGACACGGATATGAAACGGATTTATTTCACATCTCCGCCAAATCCCTTAATTATACTAGTCTCTTCCCGATTAATGCAATTATACGATGCAATTATGCGAATCGCTGTGATTGCAAAAATTGTTTAATGTAAAACGCGAAAAAGGTTTAATGCGATGTTGTAGTCAACAACTCCTTAAACACATTCTTTGCACGATTTAATTGTCATTAGTTTTACTTTATATAATATATCGTTTTCGGCTAATATATTCTCTCGGCGCGTCTTTAAGAGATTTCAAAACTAGTTGGTGTCATTTAAAAAAAAAAAAAGTTAATTTACTATTCATATTCTTTATGTTTTATGAAATGGAACAACATGATGCTACTTTCAACTGATATAATATAATCAAATCGTTTCAGATTCGATAAATTGTCTATACACCGATAATAACTATAAACTAAACAATAGATTTGTAAGTATAGCTATTACAAGACGCGCTTTAGCACTTAGGCTATTGATATTATATTATTATGTACGAATACCGGACGTATATATTAAATTGCAATACTCCTTCAGCTGTACATCTCACCGAAAAAAGGAACAGATCTATATATTATAAATATAATAGAAATACTACATCATAGAGATATATTACTGTATGCTAGGCTTAAATAAATAACATTGTGAGAAGCAGTTCCATGTGCTTTTCCCTGTTGTAACAACAAAAGTTGTAATAGTACGTTCGTTTGAATGAATCGCACCGATTTCAAAAGTGTTATGTTCGGTGAAGAAAAAAGACCGTCACCCGTACCCTAAATTCTACTCACCAATACCATCACCAGTCATGTTTCTCAGCATGATCTGCAACAAAAAATAATACCGATTAAATTCAACGAAAATTAATAAATATGGTTACGTAATTATTTACTGGCAAAGCAAAGTCATTGTTTTTACAAAGTTAAACTATAATATGTAGTTTAATAAACAAATATAAGTTTTCTTTTCTCTACGTATGCGCAGAAAATGCGGCACAAATGCAGTTACGAAGAATAGACGTAGTTAATCGCGTCTCATTGATGATTTTACGAATCGAATGAATGTCGTTTACGCGAAAAGCGTCTTTTTCTCCTACTTCTCTACAAGAGTAAACGACTACAGCGCCGTATGGTGGTCGGTGGTGGTGTTTTGACTCTTCAAGTCTTCAGGTTCTTTCGTTCGTCGAACGCACGTGAACATGGTTCTGGTAAGTTCTCGCTCCGCGAAAGTACGACGCGTACCCGTACGTATGGCAGAATCACGTGAAAATAACACCGCGCGCGGAAAGAACGCGTTTGGTTTGTCGATCGCGACGTCTCAGCCTTTTATTTTGTCTCGAGATCGCTTCGTTCGAGTTCGATTAGCACATATACCGTATGCCGTCCCTGTCCCGCTGTCTCGAACGCGTTCCACGTGTCCCGCGAAACGGTGGCAACATTATCATTAAAAGGATTGTTTTTCGCGACTTTTCAGCCGGCGAAGAAATCCAAAGGTCCGATCAGGAAGCAGGTCCTTCGGGGGAAGGGACAGAAGAAGAAAGTGTCCCTGAAGTTCACGATCGACTGCACGCATCCCGTGGAGGATAATATCATGGATGTTGCCAATTTTGTAAGTTACATGAGATTCTTTTAGCCCGTAGTCTCTTACTATTTCCCGTTTCCACGCACGAAACGTCCGCTCGCAGTTGCTCCGTCGATATCTTGAGCGTGATACACGCCTAACCTATTCTTCGCGGCGTCCTAACCTCTCTACGTATAGGAGGAGGAGGACGCTGGAGTTGCGTGACTTTGATCTTGACGCGCGCGACGTCTGTATCCTTATTCTGTACGTCTTATCGGTATCCGTATATTATTATCGCACTTTTTTACTATGTATTATATCTACACACGGACACGATAACGACTGTGACACTGTCGTTACGAGTTGCAGAGACGCAGGGCCCTTTACCTCTGTTCTGTACGTCTTAACGACGGTCGCGTTATCATTATATTGTCTTGCAGCTTCTTTACCATATATTATATCTGTGCAACGATATGTACGATAACGACACTGTTGTTGAGACGTACAGACGAGGTGTACCGCTAATATATATTATAAGACAGCACGTTTCTTTTTTTTTTTCCAGGAAAAATATTTAAACGAGAAAATCAAAGTTGGTGGGAAAATTAATAACTTTGGCAACACGGTTGTTCTGGAACGTAATAAGATGAAGCTCACCATCAACAGTGACATAGATTTCTCCAAGCGGTGAGTAACGTCGTGTTTCTTCGCGTACAACAGTCACGCGGTACATATATACACGACGGAAGGCGTTTGGATATTAAGCGATATTCGGGATCTCCGTTTGCTATCGTAAGCTATAGGAAGAGCGATATTTGCACTGATTTGGAAAAACTTTGTTGCTATAGGTATCTCAAGTATTTGACGAAGAAGTACTTGAAGAAGAACAAGTTGCGCGATTGGTTGCGAGTAGTGTCGAAGGACAAGGAAACGTATGAATTACGATACTTCCAGATTAACAGCCAGGAAGACGAAGACGAAGAAGATGCAGAATAATTCTCTTTACTTTTCTATTACAGATGCGTCTTCTGTATATATTTCTTTTAATAAAGAATAAAACCCGCGATATTCTTGCTTTTTTAAATATATATCTATAAGTGCTCCTGCTAGAAGTTATACTTATACCTATATGTAAATATTTATCGTTAACATTGATCTTGAACGTTTATAATATATTTTCTGAATATCTGGCGTTTTTAATACGCACTATTTATTTCGCGAGTGCGTCCGTATGCGTGGTCGCATGTACAAAATAATGTGTGTACTTTCACGTTTATACGTCTCATATACGTCGTTTTAAATTTCTTACGTATACGTTTATACGCATGCAACTCTCCGCGCGTATATGCACGTCGTTCGACACGAGGCCGTTTGAAGCAAAGCTCTGCACTTTCTACAAAGATATAAAAATGGTAACGTTTCGTAACGTTTAATAGACTGTTAAACTTTAAATAACGCCTTGTCGACACGCGTAATGTAAAGGTGCATGAGTTCGTGGTCGCGCTTCCACGGCAAGCGTTGCGCGTTGGTCTGGTTGTTCATAAACGCGACGTTGCAGACGTTGCTGTTACCATCTGTGCTTGTCTCGACTAAGAGCTTCGCGCGTTGGACGCATTTTCTGCCGAGGGCGTTCCTGCACTTGGTGAACTTGGCGCGGGAAATCACGTATTTACGGTTTACGGCAAACGTTCTACGTACATGATCCGCCGTTACGTAAAGACGGGCGTCGTAGATAAGCCTACGTTCTCTTTCTCGTTTTCTTCACATAAACGTACGACGTTTTAATACGTAATAATCCTCTCTTCGTATAAAAACGTAATACGTCTATCCTAAACCACGCGGAGTTTCGTTGAACGCGTCTGTAACTTTCAAGTCGACATTTGATTTTTATGATGAACGCCGTACCAGGACGAAGACACGTTTAAGTAATTAACATCGTTCGGCGCTTGAAGCTCAGCGCGTTTGTCTAAACTTGGCACGTTTATCACGCTGACGGCAAACTTTTTTCAACACGCGCGCACCATCGCGGACGTTTCGTCGACGGCGGCGGCGCGGCGAAAGGCACACGCACGATATATGATACGTTACGTCCAGAACGCGCATACCTGGTGCTGGTGACGGGGATGATCGTCAACGACGTGACGACGTTGTTCGTTGCGCCTGTGTGCGTAAATGAAGCGGAGCTCGGCCCGGCTCCCGGCTGGATCTCGTCGACGCCGAAGATGGCCGAGGAGGACGACGCGTTCGGTGCGCGGCACTCGACACGATACTTATTACAAAGTCTCTCGCGCGTTTCGGCGACGCGCCCTCGCGACTCGCGACGACAACGTCTCGACTGACGACTCTCGGACTCTCGACAACGCGCGCGCGATATCTGTATCTGCTTCGATCGCGATCGCGATCGCGAGAGACGCGCGGACGTGAGATTCGAACGGCTACTCCGCACCCGCACTCCCGTACTCCGCGACTGTCCGCGACCGCGACGACCCATTGCAAATTGCAACGGCGCGGCGCGCTCGCCGACCGACGCGCGAATTCGAAATATCGAAGGAGGCGCGAGATTGCGATTCTCGAAGCGACGCGCGACGCGCGACTGAGGAGATATCGACTTCTCGATCAGCAGCGGGATCTGGGATCTGCTCCGCGCAACTGCACCAAGCTGCACTTTCTGCGCGCGAGGAGCGCGACGCGCGCCGCCCGCCGCACGATCGCCCGTCAGAGCGAGAAAGAGAGGACGGCGGAAGGTGCGGAAGGTGCAGCCGAGGCTGCCGTACGCGCTTCGATTTATCCCGACGTTCTCGTCTCTCGTTTCCGCGCGGCCAGGCCGACAAGTTCCTTGAATAAAATCGAGCGATCTCTCACGAGAAACCGGTGATCTCTTCGACGTCATCGCTCGTTGCCGAAACAAATGAAGGGGACTGTTTTCTCGCGGCGGACGACGATCCGACTAGTGTCGGCGTCCGGCGACGGCGTGACGCGGACGGGACGCTAGCGCGCGCGCAGTGACGCACGGCCCGCACGGCGAATACGGCAATTGTCGCTTGTCGCTGCGAGCTGCGAGTCGCGAGAGTTTCGTGTTTCGTGGTTTCGCCGAGCCGAGGCCGTCGCCGTGCGCCGTTCGTGTCACGCGTCACGCAGTCACATTAGCCAAATTTAGCGACTGTCACACTGTCACGGAGAGCGAGAGTGCTCACGCGCGTCAACGAAAAGGGTGAGGGTGAGCTCTAGGGAACGCGAGTCAAGGATCGTGATCGTCGTCGTTCGTCGTTGTCGGTTGTCGCGCCGCGTGGTCCCCTCGCAGACGGGGGACAATGAAGTTCCAGTACAAGGAGGAGCACCCGTTCGAGAAGAGGAAGGCCGAGGGCGAGAAGATCCGACGGAAATACCCGGATCGAGTGCCCGTGAGTATCCTCCCCTCGTGCGTTCCGCTTTAAAAATCCCGGAGATGGCAGCTGGACGCGGAAGGAGCGTTTCGCGGACGTGGCGAAACGTGGCCTCTCGCGAGGAACGCCCGCGCCGCGCGCCGTGGCTCGCCTCGCCTCGGCGCGATCCCCTTCGGAGGATCTCAAGGTCGTCCTCGCATTCTGCGTCGCATATCGCATATCGCCTATCGCCTATCGCCCCCCGTTCGGACGAGGCGGCTTCTCTTCGGGAGACGCCTGTCTCTCTCTCTCTCTCTCCTTTTTGCGCACTTACGCAGCGAAATCGCGCTGCTCCTCGCGTACGTCCTCCCCCGCGCGCGATATTGATCTGCTTCACGACGTGCACGCGACGTGGTTAAAGGTAAACAGCATCGCGTCGCTTGCGCGTCCCCGTGGTCCCATCGTCGACGTAGACTTCGGACACGAGGAAACGCTTCTAGAAGGTTCACGCTCTTTGTCGCGTTAAATAAGTAACGCGTCGCAACATCGTCGTCCTGCTAAATCGAGCCCAACGTTGTTTTCAAAGTTGCGTCGGATGTGTGTGTACCTTTGTCAAGCGTCGTTTTATCAAGTTACCAATTTATAATAAATGACAAATAAATCAAGAAGAACTCGTAGATCGATTATACTTTGCTACGCACACGCACACGTATGTGTACTTTTAAATATATCTTACACACATACTTCGTTCGAAATATATTTCAGATTAAACGTTACGAGATAGGATCTTATAGTCATTTCGATCGTGAAAGGAAAAACACGTATCAAAGCATTCCACGTTCGTAGCGGCCGTACGTGGACGGAGTATAACACAGCAACGTCTCGTCCAAACATATGGATCTTACCTACTCTCCCTTATTACGTACGTTCTGATATAATCTTCCGCGTAACGTCTTTTCTTATTAATCTTCCTTCAACCTATATATTAAAACGCAACGTTATTCCTAATGGATCTCGCGCGACTTCCACGGTCGTACGCGTGATTGTTAGAAAGAAAGAATACGCGTGTTTATCTTCGCTGCGCATGACGCAGCGATCACATGACGGCAATTTCAGCAGCGAACGTACCTCCCGTTCCGCGATGCACACGCGTTCACCAGGTTCACCAGATCCACGCACAGGACTCGCGCCTGAGTCCTGTTATTCAACAGTTGGACGCGTTTCAAAGTCTCTCTCACGCACGGTATTAACTGCAGCGAGCCAGAGACGTAAGCCTTGTTTAATATTTTGTTGTTAGGCTTATTGTTAGCATGGGCTGAACGTCACGTTTCCACGTCCGCGAACACGGCCCTTAACGCAAAGCTGCGGAGCGTGCGTTTTTTCGCTGTGTTGTGTGTTGTGGCGACTAATTAAGACACTTTCCTATTGTTGTCAACTAATATTACATAAATGTTGTTGTAGGTAATAGTCGAGAAGGCGCCTAAAGCCAAAATCAGTGACCTGGACAAGCAAAAGTACTTGGTACCCTCTGATTTGACCGTCGGCCAGTTTTACTTTTTAATTCGTAAGAGGATTCATTTACGTCCCGAGGATGCCCTATTCTTCTTCGTCAACAACATCATTCCTCCGACAAGCGCCACCATGGGCTCTCTTTATGCGGTACGTAGTATGAATATTATTACGGACGTATGTAACGAGTGAGATGCTTCGCGTTTGACGTTTCGTCGACCGCTCTAATCTCGTCAAACGTTTCAACAGGAACATCACGAAGAGGACTTCTTCCTTTATATAGCGTATAGCGATGAGAACGTATACGGTCACTAAACCCCAGCAGGATGAGCAAACCACCAAAACGACAAGGGCGTCAGCAACAAAAATCATCTACCAACGTAGTCCTCATAGACGCTTTCGAAAAACCGAGCATACCAAATTACAACTATCGATATACTTTGTGTGAACGTTTATGTCTCGATACTGCACACTTGCTTCTTTCAAAAACAAACTACACAGCTATATATTTGGATGATAAAAAAAAATGCTTGTCGATTCCATTCTTTCTTTGCCACCTGAGAGGACTTTAGTTTACCGTATGATGTAAGACCAACTAAATTGTGCAGACGTATGTGATCATGTAATGTCTAGCCTGGCCACTCAAAAAAAAAAAATAAATAAATAAAGAAACAAAAGAGAAAAAAAATTTCCCAAAAAGTATTTGTATTGCCAAATATCGCTAATATTCTCACAACGTACGTTTCACTGCACATTAATAATCATGTTTCCCGAGAATAGTAACTATCGTATCATTATAAATTCCAAGTGTGGTATAGACGACAGAATTCTATACGTGATATCATTTTCAACACCATAGATTAATGTTGTATTATACATAATTTTGACGTTATTTACGTAATGAAAGGACGAAGAGAACGTGTTGGATATGCGAGCGAGACAACGTTTCTGTAATATCTTGAAAATGTAAGGCCAATAAAAAAAAATTTTAAAACGACGAGAACACGGCTAAGTATTTTCTGTTCTTAAATATTATTTTCCTCTTGGTTTAATGTTAGCTCCTTTTAATAGAATCCGCTTGATCCAGTTGTTGACAAGTCGTGACGTTGCTATCAATACTTGTCGCAGACTTGTTTTGCCCGCGTACATCCTAAATTTTTTATTTGTTTGTCCCGAGCACGCTCAATGTATGCGAACGAAGACAGTAGTCAAACTCCTTTCTATCGACCAAGTAGCAGCTTGAATACCATGGAACCGGCGAGTTTCGAGAAAAATGATACAAACGTCAACGTTACTGTTGATAGATATATTAGTCCATTGTATAATCTTTCGCAAGAAGATAGCAGCTGGATCGTCACGAGCTCCTTTATGATTCTTACAATGCAAACAGGTAAAATACGAAGACGCGAATATCTTTCCCGAAAAATGTGACGTCGTCTCTCTTTCCGTAACTGTTTAAGATATATAAACTATTACTATATTTTATTCTTCTGCACGCGAGTACGTTACGTCTCTTATAAACTCCATAGGTTTCGGAATGTTGGAGTCCGGCTGTGTATCTGTGAAAAATGAAGTCAATATCATGATGAAGAATGTGGTCGATATATCTCTCGGCGGTCTGACTTACTGGATGTTTGGATTCGGATTTAGCTTTGGCATGAGTGAGCCCAACAACCCTCTAATCGGTATCGGAGGTCTATTCGTAGATCCTTCCGTCGGCGACGAATATATGGGTGGGATTTGCGCCGCATTTTTATTTCAATTGAGCTTCGCCACCACTTCTACGACCATCGTTAGCGGTGCTATGGCAGAACGGTATATTATCTTCGCTAATGCGATATATCGGGGATGTAAGTCACGCGTCACACGTTTGACACGTTTGCATTTCTAGATGTAACTTCAAGGCGTATTGCGTCTTCTCGTTTCTGAATACTATCGTGTACTGCTTGCCAGCCGGATGGGTGTGGGGTGATCACGGTTTCCTGAACCGCATGGGGGTCGTTGATATTGCTGGCTCAGGCCCGGTGCATCTTGTCGGCGGTATTTCAGGTAGTAATCATTGCCAGATGATCAACGATAAACTGATAAATATTTCACGCGATAAACGCATTACGTTGCCTGTTTATTTATACAGCTCTAGCTTGCGCTATCATGCTCGGTCCCAGAATAGGCAGATACGACAACGGCATCGATCCCCTACCGCTCGGATGCCCAGTCAATGCTATTATGGGGCTGTTCGTGTTGTGGTAAAGCACGCGTAGCGTATCGCGCGACGTAAAGTTACAGCAATAAGTTACAGAATAGAAAAAAAGGGAATATTAATTGTAGGTGGGGCTGGTTAGCATTCAACAGTGGTAGTACTTATGGGGTAACTGGTGCTCAGTGGCAGTACGCCGCTCGAGCGGCTGTTGCCACGATGATAGCCAGTATGGGGGGTGGTCTGGTCGGTTTGGGATTCAGCTTGACCAATCCGAACGGAATTGATATCCTTAGCCAGATAAACGGTGTTCTTGGGGCACTGGTGGCAGTTACCGGTACGTGCTTAATTAAAATATAGTAAAGACTGAAATACTGCGATGAACCGCGCGTCTCAAGCGTTAATGTTGCGGGTGTTTAGGTGGGTGTTTCCTCTATAAAGGCTGGGAAGCGATGATAGTCGGGATGGTAGGTGGTTTTATCACGTGTATCGTAATGCCAGTGTTAGACAAAATTCACATAGACGATCCTGTTGGAGCAGCCGCCACTCACGGTGCGTTTATGTTAATTCCATTGACATGTCCAATTTTTACAAGTTTCTTTCACTCTCTTCATCGCGATAATATAAACACTCGCGCATTTCTTTTAAATATAGGCGCAAGTGGTATCTGGGGAGTTATCGCGATCGGTTTATTTGCTGATAATCCAATTCCGCTTGATACCACAAATGGAAGGAAGGGCTTGTTCAAAGGTTCGTACAATATGATTTCGCGTATTTTTCTCATTCCGCGTCACATGCATGAATTCTTTCTCGTAGGAGGCGGCTGGTATCTATTAGGAGTACAAAGCTTATCTGTACTTTGTTTAGGGGTTTGGAGTTTTGTCAGCTCTATCGTATTGCTATGGGTATTATGACTTTGTTCTAAAAAAAAAAAGTATATATAAATAATACTTGTAATACATGAGATGCAAGTAATACCTGTCTTTTTCGTAGATAATAAATAAAATAATACCAATTAGAATGTCAGTTTATGAAGAAGTACTCGGAGCAGATCTCGTAGAGCATAGAATACGTCATTCACAGGTACGACGTTCCTTAATAACTTAATTTTTTAAGCAGTTTGAACTTTTAACACGCTGTCTAACTTATGTGAGTGCTTGCTGCAGATAGGTGTGAGTCGTGCCATGTCAGCGCTTCGACCGTTTAGTATGGAGAAGCAACTAAGGAACGTACCTCCCATAGGCATGAATCCTGGTAAGACAGAAAACCCGTTCCCTTGTTTGTGATGTAAACCTGTGCCGAAATGTATAATAACGCGCACTTTTGATACAGGTCATGAGTTATTTCTTGTTCAGCATAGAAAAAAGAAATTGGCAAATTTTTCAAAGTCTGATAAGCGTCACGTGTCAAAGAAGCTGGTGACGAAAAATTCCCAGATCAGGACGATTGCGGACTCTTCCGCGCTAACCGCAGAAGCGAAACCGCAGTTTGCGTGGATAGATTAGATTTAAAAAACGAATACACAAACTTATATCGGTACTTGGTGTCAGAGATGTGAATTTATTACAAATGTATAAACATGGACACGTGCACATTCTAATGTTGTCGTATTCTAATACGCCCAACCAATGTGTGTGTGTGTGTGTGTGTGTGTGCGCGCGCGAGAGGGGCACACATTTCTTAATAAATACTTAAATTTTTACGCATTCATACCTATAAATATTGATCGCTGACACACATGCACGCACACACACGACACAGAGATAAATGAACATGATAAATGGATCACAGACAAACTGAATTTTAACACGATGCTTAGCCAGTGGCACAAATATGGTTTCAATCGAATAAATTAGTTACGCGTCCATGACACACGATAAGATAATGCTTGTTATTATAGGAAATAAAATATTTCGATAAATATCTTCCTTATTATCTTTCATATATCAAAGATGTGTATACCAGATGTTCTACTTCTGGTTTTTGTATATTGGCAGGAACTGTTCCTGGAGACCATATTAAGTATATATTCACAAAATACCATTCTCCCTTTGCCTTTGCCTTTCAGATATTGTACTGATACATATTGAGAATATTTACACGTTCATTGTATTTTCGTGATATTTCTTTCGATTTTCTATTCTAAAAATGCTTGATACTTAATAACTAAATTTAGAAAATCGAACTGCATACATGTATGAATAGTAATATTCTAGAGATGCAAGACTAGAGTATCACACGTCTTTTGGAGGGCATAATATGTAGACGAAATGTCGCGTATCTTTGTAATTTTCTTCGTATAATACTTGATTTCTATGGCGATCATTAATTGAGAGTATGGAGATGAGCTTAATAATTATATTCAACATATAAAAATGTATCTAAAAGATTAGCACACTATCGATTCCTACATTATTTCAAATGCATTCCTTCTATAAGAGCGATATAAATATCTATGTCTAAATTTATCCTATAAATACGACGCTACGTGAAGGGGAAACTTATTAATTACGTGTAACGTGTACGTTTATGGAACACAATAGGTTGAGTACTTGAAACTATATCGTTATTATATACTGCTCGACGCCCACTGAGACACTTCTGTAGGAAGACCAGGATACGTCTTCACAGCCTCAATAACTTGCTGCGATGTTAATGTAAATTTGTAATATTGATATTCTTTTTCAAACTTTGTATTCGTATTTCCAACTGGCAGCAAGATCTCCAAGTTCTATAGAATATATATAATATATATGTATTATCCATCTTTTCTTTATTCGAGAACCTAATTCGAGAAAAATAATTTCAATATAGAAGCATTTCTTACCTTGATGTGCTCAAAAGCTTTCATGATAACCGGTCTCTGGACAGATTGTACAGAGGACGTCTGATTCACAAACTTCATGTAGCGATTGTATATCGCCTCGAACGTCAATGGTTCACCATCATAAATCTCCGTTTCATGTTTCATCGCTATTATCTGAGTGATAATATTGAGATATAGATATTTCTTTCACTACCAAATAAAATTAGAAAGTCAAAAACGTACCAGACACATCTCTAAAATGGACAATCCTTCGAGCATCAACAACTTGTCATCCTCCGAAAAGATTTTACTCGCTTCCACAAAATCATTCACTTCCACGTTCTGATGCTTCTCTGATAACGTCGAGACAGCTACCGCGAGAAACGTTCTAAAGCTCCTCTCGCTCACATCGATATGATACATTCTCTTGAGTAAATTCACCATCGTAACATTGGCAGTCAAACTCTTAATATAGTCGTTCCACATAGAACCGAATTGCGGATCTATTGTACAGTCATCATATTGCTGCTCCACTTTATTTACATTCTCATCGTCAGGCAAGCTGAGGAGGTTCCGAAAGAGTTCCAGACGATCGTCAAACGCGGACATTGGTTGTTCCGAGGACGACGTATCGCCAGGAAATAAAAATATCTGGCGATGCGAGAATCTCGACTTGACTCTCTTCTCCAGCAGCTCCATGACGTCTAATCTACAGCTTATCCCTAGTACACATATCGGAACCTACAAACGTGAAAGAAAATTATTACACTTTTCTTTATCTCGATACGATACGATTTAAACATTTACCTGTGCAGATTGAGCAACGTCAAACAGATTATATAACAATGTCTGATTGTGATGGCCGCAAAACAGATCGAACTCATCGAGCACGAAGATGACTGGCTTGGAGCGGTTTTTATCGCCAGATTTCAAGCAATCTAAGAGGAAGCTTAGATTTTCTGCAAACGTACCGAAAACCTTATCGCCAACCACGTTTTCTAATTGCATCTGACGAGTTAGATCTTTGAGCGCTAAACGATCGTCAGTATGTACTAGCCCATTAAGGTTCACTATTAGCGCATTATCCTTAAAACTTTTTAAAGCAGACAACTCCTTTAAAACGCTATTAACAAGCTGAAACGTACATATAAGTCCTTATCAGTACCTACAATACAGAGTATGTACAATACACAATACAATACAATATATTTTGTATGATATCATAAAGGATACGTTATACCGTTGTTTTGCCGCTGCCTCTAGGTCCAACCAACAAGACGGACGTGCTCTCGCCTACTTCAACGGTACGTTTCACTAAATCCAGCACGTTTAGCCGCTCGTTAACGTGATGCCTGAACTTTGTTTCGGGACACATTATTTTACGCTTCAAGTACTTTCGCGTGAGCAGTATCATATTGTCTTGGAAGTCGATTGCCATATTTTTCTTCTTGCTCATCGTGTTCTTGTTCTTACTGATGGTCTTTAACAGTCTTGAACTACTTGTCTTGACAAAACACGTGGAAGACCTGCACGCGATGGAGAATTTATTTTTAAGATACTTAAAGATACTCGCTCTTAGTCTAAACTAACGTTCTAAATTCTAAACTAAGCAAAATGTTTAAAAATACAGCGCGTATAATCAGAAAACATAACCCGATCGTCTCGAATGGAATTCGACGACACTAAAAACACATCTTTTGCGTCAACTTACGCGAGTCGTCGAGCCTTCAATATTCGGTCGATGACGTCGGCCACGTATTTTGACGCGATGAATAACGCGGGACGAACAGCGGAGAAAAGTGGAGAGCAGTGGAGAGGAGACAACCCGGCCGCGGGCAAGAGAGTCGAACGAAAGGGTCGGAGGGGAGGGTCGATGTTTACGTGCGTCCCGTGTCCCGTGTCCCGTGTCCCGTGCGCCTGCCTAGTGCCTACCAGTATTTACGCTTTAAACAAACATGGACGACGCGATTCAGGAGCCGGAGCGGAAAAACTGCACTTTTCTATTTAAAAGACGCAAAATCCGCAGTAATGCCACGAGAAAGCGGAAAGAAGCAGACGGCAGCGATGGTGAGTCCTCATTAATAAACGTTAATTTAAGTGCACGCTACCTGGACATCGCATTTACTTGTCGGATAAGTCTAGTCTAGCCTGACTCAAGTTTTAGGTTATGTGTAAAAAGACGTCGTGTAGATAAACGTTTGTATTACGTCCTACGTAGATAGCAGCGAGGATGAGACTACGGTGATTAAGAAGGACAAGAAGCAGGATGATCACAATCCCATGATACAAAGCGTGAGTATTTATCGCACCGCGATGGAGACGCGTAACCTCTCCCCTCTTGGGCCATTTAACGTGCGCATTAAAGTACCAGCAACTCCGTACTTGATTGAATTCCGTATAAGATAACGTTGTGCGATATTATAAAAGTTCAGCTTGTGTGATCCCTGTTTTCTAGACAAACGTGAAAAGGCATCAGGAGAAGATCAGTTGCGACGTCGATGATAGCAGCGAGGATGATAGCAGAGTAACTGTGTTGTATAAAAGCAACAGAACGGCTCTACCGGCCGGCCCGAGTGACCAAGGAGCGACGGCTATTCTTGAGACGGAAACGGAGAAAGACAGGGATGCGCAGGCACTGTTTGAGAAGGCTCAGAAAATAAACGAGGTATATTTTGAGCAAACACGTCGCCAAGTACATCGACCGAGTTTGAACGTGACTTATTTATGTCTATTTCTATCGACGCAGATTAATTTTAATCTCGATTTAACTTACCTTTCATTCTTTTCTAGTTCTAAAGTTAGAAAGTAAGTTAAACCGAGATTAAAGTTAATCTGCATTGGTAGAAATGGACTTTGGAAAGGTAAAGGGTAATGACACCTCTCTCTATCTCGATTTTCAGGAATTAAAGGGGAAGGATGATGATAAGATTTATAGGGGCTTGAACAATTACACGCAGTACTATAAAAAGAGAGATACCGCAGCTGGAAATGCGTCCAGCGGTATGGTGCGCAAGGGACCAATTCGAGCACCGTCTAATCTTAGAGCAACGGTGAGATGGGACTATCAACCTGACATATGCAAGGATTACAAAGAGACTGGCTTCTGTGGTTTCGGAGGCATGTGCCATCATTTTAATTAGTCTTTCCAAATAAATGTACCATGTTTTAATTGGATTTGTATTAATACAAATCCTTTTTCTGTTGCACAGATAGCTGTAAGTTCTTACACGATCGGTCGGATTACAAATTGGGATGGCAATTGGAAAGAGAAGCCGCTACCGGCGAATATAACAACAGTGGGGACGAAGATGATAAAAAGTACGAGATTGACAGCGATGAGGACAACTTGCCGTTTAAATGTTTTATTTGCAGAAACAGTTTCACAGATCCTGTTGTTACCAAGTATGATTATATTTAAGTATATTCAATCGCTAACTTTTTCTCAACGCTTTTAATGTCTTTGATGACAATGATGACTAAACCGCTATTTCTTTTAGATGCAAGCATTACTTTTGTGAAAAATGTGCTTTGGAGCAGTATAGGAAAAGTACACGATGTTATATCTGCAATACCCAGACCAACGGCACCTTTAATCCAGCAAAGGAACTTATTGCGCGAACTAAAATGGAAGACAAGGCAGCGACTGCAGCAAGCGAGGACTCCGATGAAGATTAATAAAATTTTTTACAAACGTACTTCTGTTTCTACAATCTTGTAACAAATAATTGAAATAATATTATAATATGAAGAATTTTAACGAACTATGGATATTGATGTATAGACAGTTTTAAAAAATCATCGATACAATATGTTTATGGATTTTCTAGGATTTATGGTGAGTAAATGATCCTACAATTCTCCGAATCGTATTTTTCTGAACGCTCCATCGAACGGTAGAAACTTTTTTTTAGGCATCTTATATGAATACTGCAGGTTAATAAAGATATGTACATACATACGTATATGCTTTTATATATATATA